GCTGTCCAGGCCTACACGAGATGAGGCAGGATAAAGAGGGATAATCCCCCTCGATCCCAAATCATTGAGGCCAATTTCTAGCCATAGAATAATGGCGCCTCGATCCCAAATCATTGAGGCCAATTTCTAGCCATGGAATAATGGCGATTAATTTTCAACTTTTTGCATAAAATTGGAATAAGCGCAAATTTAATTTAAATAGGGCCTCCAAATTCTTAAATTAGAATAGGTATTCAGTTTTATTGGCTATTAAATAAAAATTACAGTTTTTTTAAAGTACGTATATCCTGTTGATAATGTATTAGGAATATTAGTTGAAGAATATTCCTGAGATATTATTATTAGCATATCTATGGAGAATATCATATGTATATTGAAAAAGGGATCATCTACGAATATTTTATAAGCATATTAATATTCTATGAATATTCTACGTTTATTCAGAATATATATAATCTTTTTAGAAGGTTTAGAGAATATTCTCAGAATATATGGTGCTGTCTGGGAAGGTTAAGTTACGGCTAAGTTAGGACTAATACTTTTTCATAAACCAACCAATAATTGGCCATCTTAAAGCAGTGCCATACGTAAACGCAGAAATTGACATGTGCTCATGCGCAGTGGTAATTTTGTGTATGTTTACGCTTATTACGTCACACGTATGTACGTACGTCTACGTCTACGTCTTGAAGGATTCTTTAAGACGGCTTTCTAATTCTATAACGTTGCATGATTTTTACGTTTACATCCAAGCGTAACGTACACTTTAGTGTCTTTTGCTTTAAGTCTAATATTTTAGTTACTCATATAGCCATAGCCCAGATTAGAGATTAATTCAAAGCTGGGGCCATATAAGCTTACTAGATGTTCTGTTGAGATTTCTGAACTTTATTGAGGTTATTCGCGATAAAAAATTCTTAAATAATTAAAAAAATAAAATCATTGCATAATTCATAGGGATAACATGATGTTAAAAATGGGTTATAACCATCTTTATAAGTAACTTGTGTACCATTATTAGCTATTTTTATTTTCTTTTTCAGTTCAGCAAGAGTAAAAATTAGTAAAAAAATATATCGGTTCGTAATTCAAGATACTTTTCAATATTTTAACCGTGCAGTTTTTGTTGGAAATCCAATATTTTTTATTTACTACAATAAGGTTTTTAAAAAAAATGTATTTTTACAAAATATTTGTGTAAACAAAAATAAAAACAAGTAAGTACATACATAGATTGCGCGGGGCTCATGCGTCAATCAACTGAGCCCGCGTGGCGCTATTGGCAACTTTTCCTCACTCGTTACACAATGTACTATTGTTACCAGGCCCGGATCCAGAGGGGGTGGCGATGTGGCGATCGCCACCCCCAAAGCACAACATTTTTTAAAGATCTTCAATTTCTCCAAATGACAACAGGCAGTTAGTCGATATTAATGCAAGTCCCCCTTCCTAACCTACACCTTACGTCATCAAAAAAATAACAACAACAACAACAACAACAATAATAATAATAATAATAATAATAATAATAATAATGATAAAGAAGTACTTTGCGCCACCCCCAAAACCAGTCTCTGGATCCGGGCCTGATTGTTACTTGTGATATCATGAAAGTTAATTTAGATCTCAACAAAATATTCTGATCACATTAAATTTAATAATCTGACACGGGCCTCACGCAGACAATATATATTCCAGAAAATATATAGCTTCTGTAAACATTAAGCAACATATTATTATCAATAATTGTCGATGTAAATTTACAGTACTTTCTAAAACGCTTTTTTGTTAGTGATATCTATACAGATTTATTTCTAGATTTGTTATCTAATAACAAACATTAAATATTTAAGTTTAATTTTTATAACAGGTACTTTTAGATTATTTTAGGACAGGACTATTGAAATTTGAATCCTTCACGACTCCATTTTTTACGTCATTATAGATATGGGTTGTACTTCTGCTACGTATAAAATGGCTTATTTTTATAGTTCCACGCGTTTTCTACCTGTGGTACCTACTGTTTGAATTATGTTGCTGCATTGAAATTTTCACTCTCACCATTTCGAGCATTTCCCGCCAAATCTTTAACCTGTTCATTGTGTTGTGTGGTTCCACTCAATAATTGTGGACAATTTTGGCAATTTTTAATGAAAATGGTTACAAAGAATGAAATAGCAACATGTTTTCAAGAATTAAATATAGTAACAAGTGATGTAGTGTTGGAAAAATGTAAGTAAACCGTTTTTTAACTTTTAAGGTTATTAACATCCTTATACCTTTTATATACTTACTATGGTTAATATAGGCCTAGAAATGTGTTTAAAATACAATATTGAAGCTGAAGATTTTTGTGATCAATGGTACGCTTACACTGCTTCACATTTAAATGGAGCCGCTCCTACTGTAGATTATTTAGAGAAATTAGAGAGAAAAGAGTTCCTGAAGAATAAAGATCAACTTTTTTATAAAAAATCTGTTACCACTCCAAAATTTGCACCCAAAATAGTAGGGGAAGATACGTATCCTTTTTGTTAGTATAAAAAAAATGAGTTTAGAAACAAAAGTATAATTAGTTACGTTTTTATTTTCCTTAATAACTCCATAGGGAAGTCAGTTCCATGGTCAGTTCATATACAGCAACAACACCGAAGGTGAGTACTACAAAAAATATTTTAAATATCGCCTGCGGTCAAAAACGAACGTTACGAACGTTGGCTTTATGATTTACAAAAGTTTTACCACCATTTTTTCTGCCTTTCTCGTCTCGCTTGAATGATCATTAATAAATGTTTACCATCTCTTGTTTTCGTATTTGATCATCTGGTGGGTGAGAAAGATAGCAGGCTCGCACGTTAGTCGGTATTCCGGACTTGCGCAAACGACTTAAAAGTTTTCTCAGAAACTTTTCAAGGCTATTTTATCCTTCAGCGGCCATTGTTAAATCTGGAGAAGACGCTTGGCTTTTGTTAGTGATGTGTTCGAGTTATATTTATCTATAATATAATGATTTCATGCAAAAATAAACGCCGGCATTTTTGCAACCTGTTGATTGTATTTCTCGGCCTACCATTTGTGCGGTGCGGGATATAACTAGTTCTCTTGTTTTGGAAGGAACAAAGTAGTGTAAACAACCTTTAACTGAGATTTTTGTTTGTACTTTGTTTGTAGACGAAATTATTTACAAGGTTAAATTTCATTAACCTCTGTTGTTACCCTAGCAAATTACTTATCGTTTTAACTGTTATTATTACTGCTTATGATTTATCAGATTTCTTGCTTTTTCTCGCAGCGATATCAATTTCTTTTTTTGTTTGTTCGGCGGTTTTGGATTCTAGCGTCAGTGATTTGTGTGAAGTTTTTTCAGCAGTCTAGGGTGGTGTTGCACCGATGTGAATTGTTTTTAATGGGTGGGGGCCTAGTCTCACGTTTTTTTTGCATTCGTGACTAGATCCACACTCATTAAAAAATATTCACATATTTCTTCAAGAAGAATTTTACTATTTAACGTAAAAAATATAGAACCCTGTGTTGGCGCGTGTGGGTTCTAGTCCACGTACTTTTTAATTCGTGACTAGATCCATACTCGTCTATAGGGGCTCCTACAGCAGCTGCCTGTTTTTTTTTTTAATTTGCAATAACTCATTTTTAATAGTCTAATGTATGTAATAATTTGTTTTTTTTTACTGGTTCTAAGGAAGATATTTGCTTATTTCTTTTATTTGAGCAATTATTATACATTGGAAAATTAGCAGTCGGAAATAATTTTACTTTCTATTAAACGAATACAATTCTCCAATTTGTTTCATTTCAGTAGTTCTTAGATTTATTACAGGTCATTAAATATCTATTAACTTAAATATTTTAAGCATCAGGTTTTCATTCAGAATTTTTCAATAGCAAATAAACTTGATTCAAATTTTTCGTTTAAAAGCTATCTACATAATGTAACGATCATAAGTATGTCCAATTGTAACATTTACTTTTCAAAATTATTTTGATACAGAATTAAAAAAATAAACTTAAAGGAACATCAGTAAGGCTCAGATGTTGATTGAAGTGCAGCCCAATAAACATTTTTGTATCACCATATAAAAGATTTCTTTACAAATACATTAACTAGAAACTTTTAGGTCTATGTTTAATATATTCATATTACCGAGGAAAAATTAGTATCGTGCATTATTAGAAACTACATACTATTTCAATAAAACTTCTATTTCTATATGTTCCGGAAAAAACAAACATTTTTATTACTAAAATGATACGTATTTTTTTATTTTAATACTCTCCTATTAGAAAATAAAATAAATTTTTTTAAAGGAAGGAAATGACGATTGCAACAGAAAATTGTCCCACCTATTCAGTAAAGTGCCCTGCAAGCAGCATGTTTAATGATATATGCACACATTTTAGCTAATTTTTTTATTTGTGTCGGTGTTAGATGTCTTTTTTTACATAAAAAATGAAAATATCCATTGCGAATTTATAAAAAAATGTTTGTAATTCTTCAAATTCATAACTACATAATTCATATTCAATATAAAAATTTTACCACTTGAGAAAAGCATTTGACGAATAATGTTTTTGCTTTAAGTTTTTCCTTCAATTAATAATAAGTTTGCAAAACTTTTCAAAGTGCCATAATACCATAAAAAATACTTTTTGCATTGTTGCAGAGTGCCCGAAAACAGGACCATCAAGTTACAGTACAGATAAACAAAGAATCAAATTTTGTAATTGAAAATGTTACCTCCAACGATTCTTACAGCAAAAGTCTTTCAGTGTAAGTAAAACAAATATTAAGTTTTTTAAATAAAATCAGATAATATACTTACCCATTCTTTAAAAAGTTGAAGATCAGAACAGTGTTAATGATTCATAAATAAGTTCAATAAATCACCTTTCAGATTAATGTAGACCATAACTTGTTTTTCCTTCAGTATTATTCCTTTTTTTATAGCTTTATTACTCATACATTTTTTGGATTCTGCTCTTAAGTTGTGAAAGTTAGTAATTTGATAATTAATTCATTACTCATTAATGGGAACAGTATATAAATCTTTAAAAAAAAATTTAAAAGTCAAGAAAAAGTAGTTCCCAAATGATAGATAAAAAAACAAATGAAGTTAAAAAGTATTATTTGTCTGATTTTTTTAATCACTTGCCATTGAAAGATGAGACTCAATAATTGATGGTAGGTTTACATACTTCTTAATATTTCACAGTCAATAAAGTTGGCTAATTTCTTGATCAATTTATTTAAGTAACCAACTAAAAGTATCTAACTAAAAATTATTAAAAAATCATTGTACATTAATGGTTTGCTTGGTAGGTATATGTTTACATATAAATACTCTCCAATTTTTAATTTACATTCTCCAAATTTACCCTTATTGGGTATTCCACTTAAGACAGATTCTTTCATAACTCTAATAGTATCAATAATACAAAACAGTGCCCTAAAGTCTGTACCAACACTATATTAGCGCATCTAAAACATACTGTTTTGGAGTTATTTGATGTTTTTTTATTAATTGGCTTTTGCAGCATCTTTACAAATATAAGACATTTCCGAAACTAAATATCATAAACTAGGGTTTTCATCATTCCTTCTAGAATGAAAAAAAAAACAATTTTCTGAATTATTGTATACATTCTAAATAGAGCAGTAGTAATTACGCGTGTTAGAAGTTGCGAGTTTTGGAGAATCTGTTATTTTTTTTAATTGAATGCTATGTTAAATTTGATACAGTTGCAAAACTTAATTTTCTTTCGATTTCAGTAAGGTGTGCGAGGATCTTTCCTTATGATTTGTGATATATTTGGGGTTTTTCATAATTTATTTTTTCTGCTATAGGAAATACTAGATACTACACAATAACCTGTTTCCAATCCAAAATAATAAAAAATACAACTTTAAATCAACATTTTTTATATAAATTCATTGGAGGAGGGCCATTAACTGTACACATGATTTAAGAGCATCTAACTTTTTCTTGTGGGGATTAAAAAAATTTAATTTATTCATCACCCACTAGGACGTAAGTTTTGAAGAATCGAAAATGACAAGCTGCCAGATAGACCAGATAGAATATGATTTTATTTTGGTAAAAAATTTATTTGCACATTCTTGCAAATGTTCTAATATTTAAATAAATTTTATGTTAAACGATGATCGCGTATCATTTTCAAAATCTATTTTTGTTTTCAAAATTTCATTGCTGCGTGACATCGATTTTTTAACATGGAAATTGCAACAAAAAATACAAATTATTTAAAAAAAATTGGATGGAAATTGGATTTTATTAGGGGTTTCATTTAAAAGAAATGTAAATATTCGTGATAGAAAAGTTTGAAATTTTGTGGTCCATAATTACTCTTTTTGTCATAGAAATGTATTAAGTAATACAAAAGACAGGTTTTTATACTTGAACAAATGGACAAAACTATATTTTGTTGTTTATTTCGGAGAGATTTAACATTTACAAGAATCACCAATCACCAATTTAAAAAAAAAACATCAAAATGGTATGGCTGAGATTTAATATTTATTATTAAAGCACGCTACAAATTGAACGCAAATTTAACAAATTCAGTAGTATTAATATTACCAAAGCTGTAGTAGCTATAGTGGGAAACTTTCATTACATTTTTTTTTATATCAGGATACAGTTAAAAATGGATAGTGGTTGAGGTATGATTTGTTTTAGGTCCCAATCTGAAAAATACACTAAAAGGTCAGATTCAAGATCAGTGCAGTGTTACTATGGGGCACCATCAGCAAACTATAAAAGGGAGAACAACTGTCTTATAACGATTAAAAATATCAACGAGGGACAATTCCTGAGTACCAATTTTAAATATATGTACGAGATTATGGGGAAAAAGGCTAAGTGCCTAAATAATATGACACAGTCGCTGGGGCATGCCATTTTAAACAAGCATAACTTAACTCTAACAGAAGGGACTCTAAAAAGTTATTTGGTAATTTGGTAATTTAATACTTGTTTTGGAAATGTACTAAAATAATTATTTCAAACTAAAACAAAATATATGCTTATAATTTATATTAATGTTGGCATATGTATACTTTTTATGGAAGTATTTCAGTACATTTAAAAATATATATTTTAAATATATTGATATCATACACTAAGTAAATAATTTTCTTCTAGGGAGACATGGTGACATACGGAAGAATAGTTTCAGATTCAGATGGTAAAATTAATACTCAATCAATATTACTGGAGGGTTCTTTGGAAACTAATATGGGAAACACCATTAATTTAAATTTGAACAAGGTTTCAAAATTTTCTCTATTTCCTGGGCAAGTTGCCGTTGTACAGGGTAACAATCCTAATTCAAGTACTTTCATTACAGATAATGTATTTACTGATTCTCTGTTACTTTTGCCAATGGAACCTCCCATTGTAAATGGTAAGTACCTAATTAAATCAGTATTAATTTTCTGCATGTTTGGAAAAATATGTTTTCATGAATATTGATGCAATATTCTTCAGGCACGCTGTGAAGTTTTATTATCCCTTTAGTTACTTTCATTTGATTCCTTGGTAAATTGGTTGGTATTAGATTAATCATATAAACTATTAGTTTTATTTAAAAATTTTGATCAATATCATCCAAACAGCTAAATATACAACTGTACTTAGTAGACCAAAAAGTCAAAGAATGAAATTGGTCGTCTTCTCAAAGAAAGAGTCATAATAAAAAAACAGCACATTTTGTTACTCCTCAAAAAAAGTAATGAATGAATCTTAAGGGGGAGCATTTTATATGTAATTTTCAGTGAATTTGTATAGCAGTCTTTTGACGAAGGTTTCAGAAAAACTAAGCAAGTTAGAAACGATATCTCTTCACTGTACTAGTTATACAAGTTTTCTCCAGGGTGTGAGACAGTTCATAAGCTGACAATACATTCAAAATAAGAAAAAAAAACATGTTTTTACCTCTTATGTTATTCATTATATTTCCTGAAGTTTACATGCCTGAATATACAGAAAATCGTCTATAATCACACTCCACAGAATGCTTTTTACGAAACTACTAAGATATGAATTAATTTTAATTACTGATTGTAAGTATTTTTTACAAAATTGTTGACAAACGGAAAAGATACATTCCGATGTCTACATGGGTGACCATGTTTTCCGTAATCTTTTATTGCGAAAAATTAAGGAAATCCTTATATTTCAACATTTTTATACCATTGCCTTACCAATAGTGTGACTTTTTGTGTACAAAACTCCAGCGTTTAAGAAAATGTGTAAAATAAATAAATTTAACATCCTGTAATTAAAGCAATTGTCCTCATCTGAGTATAAATTTTCTTTTTTTATTTTCAATATGCCTGGAAACATTTTTCTGGGTTATATCAAGGATTATAGTGAGAATAATAACCCCACTGTTTTGTAAAATAGAATTCAGAAGCAAGCAATAAGTTTTTTAATGTAAATTTTACCCATTAAACATAAGTTTCTGAATTATATTAAATTTAAGTAAATGAAATCTACCAGTTTTTTTTTAAGATTTTTATTAAATTGAGTTCCAACCTAATATCAATCCCACTCACTTTATAAATTAGTTCTACTATGTTTTGCAAGTCCTTTCTTATAAACACATTGTCTTCTGTATTACAATATCACTTGCAATGTTCAGATGTAGCTTGTGGAAAATTTTTTATTTCAGATTGAAGTTAAAATGAAGAACATTAGTTTTCAAGAAATGTTATGAAAAAGTAAAAATTGCCTATTGTAGCACTTTTAAAGATGGTGAAAAATAACAATACAATTTAAGAATCAATTACTTTCCCATTGTTATGAACAATGTCTGTTTTCTGTTAAGATTTTGATAAAAAAAACTTGGAAACAATTATCTAGGAATAATTATATGTATTGTTCTTTATCTTCATTTCAAAATGACATAATATAATAGTAATGAATTTCAATCAATGAAAATAATCGATTCAGTAGTGTTAAACTTTTTTATTGTATTATTTATGTGTCTTGCATCATTACAACTAACAAGAATGATCAAAAGTTTTTACGTTTCATATATGAGGTACATATATCCACAAAGTAAAAGTATTGAGACCCTGATGTTCTGTGGTTTTTGTTTTCGACAAAGTCGGTAACACTGAATTCAAGGCCAAGGTGTTGGGAATAACGCACGCTTATTTACGAGTTGAGAACTGTTGTTGTAGTGGCGTGCCGCCATTCCAAATTCCGCAAACTGTGAAGTTTCTCTTTGTAAAGGAAAAAATCGTACTAAAATGTAGAAGTGGTGTCGTGAGCATAAAGCTGGCAGAACGAATATTCATGATGAACAAAGGTGAAAAATCATAGCAACTGTGATTTGCGACCGTGGAAGGATTCCTTATTGACTTTTTGCCCCAGGGAGAAACAATTAATGCTGCACGGTACTATGAAACCCTGAAAACACTATGGAGGGTGATACAGAACAAAAGAAGGGGAATGTTAACGAAGGAAGTGTTCTTGTTCCATGACAATGCACGTCTCCACACAGGCAACGCCACAGAGCAGCTCCTGGATTCATTCGGTTGGAACATCACCAACCCCGCTTACAGCCTTGACCAGGCATCTTCTGCTTTTCATCTCTTCTTTGAAGATGTTTAGGGATAGAAAAAGGTTATCTACCAACTATGAGGTTCACAGTGCTGTGAATCAATGGGCCCGAAAGGTGGCGGGAAATTTTTTGACGAAGGTATCAGAAAGCTCATCCCTTGGCTCCAAAGTGCATTGAGGTTGAAGGTGACTACTTCGAAAAATAGTGTTTGATGTACCTTTCTGAATATGTCAATTTTTCATAAATATTCTGCCATTTCGATTTTTAAAAATTGTATATTCTTACTTTATAGATATGCCTCGTAGTTTAAAAAAGGTCTATATTCAAGTTGCAAAATTAGAAATATGGTGCCTCTAAAAGTAAAAAATAATGAAAGATTTATTTTCTTTTTAATAATTCTTTATTGCCAAAAATAGCCTTTAAGATATTTGTAATACTAAAAAAAAAACGGTATTGGAATATTCACCGAAATACAGGGTGTTACAAATTCGCTTCTCACTACAGGGATCTCGGAAACAGTAAGAGGTACGAAGTAGCTTAAATGGGGGCAAAGTTGCGTAATCAGGGGACCAACATTATGCCTCTAAAAAATCAAGGTTAACATGATTAGTTTTCGAAATATTTGAAAAAAAAACGAAATTTTGGAAATCCGTTTTTGTTTCATTTCAGCTTTGTTTGAGGTGATATTGAAAAAAGAACACTTTTTTATCTAAATTTTTTATTTTTTTCTTTGTTTATTGAATTATCGTACACTGTAAGTGTCATTACTTACACCCTGTGAAATCCATCTAGTTATTTAAACTATTACCAACACACGTTACAATAACACATTTATTATTATTAACTATTACCATCACTCGGTCATCAATAAGTTGTTGCGTCAAAATTAAAACATTACAATTTTAATTTTATTATGACAAATTCTTAAAAATGCATATGAACCAAAACGCCAACTGAATATTATTCTTTAAAAAATTTCAGTAATGTTCAAAAACATTTTCGTTTTGGCAATGGTTGAAAATGAATATCAGCGTAATATTATCGGAATTTATTATACCTGTAACCGCAACTGTGAAAGAGCATGTCAGATGTATTTGTATGAATATTCTGGAAAAAAATAGATCGGAATTTGTTTGAATTTTGAGCACTCAAGAAACCTAGAAATAACTATGGACACAGGAATAAAACTGTAATTTTTTATTTTAATGCGTGGTGGTAATAGTTTAATAACTAGATGGATTTCACAGGGTCTAACGACACTTACAGTGTACGGTAATTCGATAAACAAAGAAATCTAAATAAAAAATTTAGATAAATTTGGAATGAATATACTGAAGATGAATTTTTCGAGACAAAACGTCTGAATCTGGTTCGGGCTGAGACAGTACAATATTAAAGATCATGAAGGATTGCAAAAAATGTAATAAAATTTCTAGGGTCGTATTTAAAAAAATTAAGTTGATGATGGTCCTGGAGAGACGAAATATTACATATAAAAATTGATTATGCCATTCGATAGAGGGAAAAAAGTGGCCATGAGAAAGTAATAGTAATAGCAGTTTATTTAGCACTTTGCTATTTATATACACTGTCTCACTTAAAACTTACTAAATAACATCAAAAATTTGTTTTACACACTACATACATATTTGAATACACACTTAAAGACTATATTTACATATAAGAATTTCTTAACATATTTTTAAAACATGCTATATTTCAAGCATTTTTTACATCCCGACTTAAACTGTTATATTTACTAATACCCTTTAAAAAAATGGAATTTTGTCCAGCTGCTGTATGCAGTTTTTGCAAGATAAACTTGTGTTTCCCTTCTGTACTATAATTGTGGATATTATCAAAAGTTTCCAATATTTTTTTCAAGTATTGTGGTTCGTTCCCCAATGTAATTTTATGAATAAAAACTAATACATTAAACTCTAAAATCTTGTCTATATACATCCACTTCAAAATACCCAATATATCCTCAACTCTTGTATATCTGTTGCATCCTAAAATCACCCTCATAGCCCAATTATTTAATTTCTGTAATTGTGCAATTGCACCCCTATTACTTAAGTATGGTACAGTACTACAGTAACAAAAGTGAGGTAATATTATGGTATTGAATACTAATTTTCTAGTTTTTATTGTTAAATACCAACTAACCCTTTTAAGAATTCCTATTTTCTTAGCAATTTTCTTACAAATATAATTTATGTTGTTATTAAATTTTAACCTGTCTATTATAACACCAAGATACTTAATTTCATCTACTACTTCTACTGTCTCCCCATTTAGTTCAAATTTTAATTCATTACTATAGAATATGTCTATATGACTACCTAGTATCATTCCTTTTGTTTTTGAAACATTTAATTTTAACTTATTAATTTCCATCCAGTCTTTTACATTGTTAAGTATCCCATTCATTTTTACAACTAGGTCTTCTACACATGTGTCTGATACATAGATGGTTGTGTCATCGGCAAATAAGTGATATTTAACTTTCCCTAATACAAGCGAAATGTCATTTAAGTATTAAACAAATAACAGGGGTCCAAGGACTTCCTTGCGGTACTCCAACATCAATATTTAATTCATTTGATACAAACTGATCATATACTACTTTCTGCCTCCTATTATACAAATAATCTTGTAACCATTTCAAAACTGTACCATTAAAACCCAGTAACTTTAATTCTATAATCTTTAATCTATGGTCTCAAATGCCCTCTTTAGATCCAAAAAAATAATAGCATTAACTTTACCTGCATCAAGGGCCACCTTCCAATCATTAATTACACATTGTAAATCACTTTCACAACTATGATTTACTCTGAAAGACAGTGTTTTTCTTATTTCAATATCACCTCAAACAAGGTTGAAATGAAACAAAAACGGATTTCCAAAATTTCCGTTTTTCTCGAATATTTTGAAAACTAATCATGTTAGCCTTGATTTTTTACCAACAAAAATCTGTTAGTATTGTTGCTGAAGAATAAACCCATAATAAGGAAAGTGTATAAGTTGATTCTTTTTTATTAAAAAAAACATGAACACATATTTATTAGAAAAAACATACACATTGTGAACATTTAATGTAATGAATTGTATTATCCAAATATGAATATAATTAATATGAGTTATGTGGAGGAGTATCCTCTCCATTTTTATGACTGCAATAAAATTTTAAAATAAAATTTTATTTACAAAATTTCATTCATTTAGACAACACCTGCATAATTTCAATCATATATATATTTCGATATTTCTCTGGTTTTTTGCTTAACAAAACTGCTACTAAATCTCCAAAAAGCTGTTCAGGAGATTTTTCTTTTATTTCAGTATCTTCATTTTTAGATAATTTTTCTGCTGATGCTTCGCTGTTGACACTAATGCATCTTTTTCGGGAAGCTCCATTATTTTCTGAATGAAATGAACTGTCAGCTTTTTGTAATACCGTACACTCCTGTTTAATTATTGCATGGTAGTCGTTTGAGGAATCGTTCATTAAAGTGTCATCTTCCATTTCACAGCAGTATGCGTTTTGAGAAAAACTGCTATTGCTGTCTTGAGACGACTCATTTTGTTTTCGTTCTTTAGGATAGAAATTTACACATGTACTCCGTTTTTGATCAGTGTTACTGTCTGATTGTTTTTTTCTATACTGGATTACTTTATCTAAAAAATATAAATACATTACAAAAGTAAGTTGTTTTGTATTAATATTTATGGAAAACTAACCCAAAAAGCCCATTTCATCAAGAAGTTCCCATTTTACATCTCCTTCTTGTTGATATTTTGTTTTCTGCCTAATATATTTTTCTCTCAGGGCTTTCCATCGCAGCATACATAGGTTTATATCCCGTTTTAATTTGGAAGCTATGTTTTGCCATAACTGGTTCTTTAACTGCTTGTTTGGATAAGTGTTGCAGTTTCTGTCCCATATTGGGGTGGTTTTTCTAACTAATTCTATTAGAGCTTTATCAAAATCTGTCTGATTAACAGATATGAAAGATGCGTCAAAATTAATCTGTGAACATAATTCTTCCGCTTTTTGCATATCTTCATCGTTATTTGTGGACTGTTTTCTAGGAACAATGTTTGGATCTAAAAATGTTAGTTCTGATAACAGCTCCCATTCATGGTAGTTTTTAGCGTACTGTGCAGACTTTTCCCTTTCCCTTATATATTTTTCTCTAATAGATTTAAATGTTTCTTTGCAAATATCTCCTAAAATAATAGACAACTTATACAGAAAAAAATATACAGGCTGTTTTTTATGTTGGAATTTTCCTTTTAACACAATCTAAAATTAAAGAAGCACACTTCAAATATTTTTTCAAAAACTTCTATTAATAAAGTATTTAAAACTATTCCATTATTTCTGCATTTATTACCAATTTTATGACTGCAATAAAAAAAATGTAGGTACTTATTCGATATTTTAATTGGATTTGTAAATTGTGTTAAGTACTTTTCAAATTTACATAGAAATAGATGATGATCCTCCAAGAAAAATATTTGAGAAATTCAATTATTGTTCCAGTTATTTCAATACATACTATATTTATTTTGTATTATTAGTGAATAATCAAATAATTTCCAAATTAATACAAATTTTGAATATTGAATTTCCTAACTAAATTTTAATTTTAGGTAAGTACTATATTTCTTTACATTATTAAGTGTGTGTCTAGTTAATTTACTAATTTAACTTTAATTTGGTTAAAAGTATGTAAGTTAAAAATATATTTATATTTTAAGTACCTGTGCATCCCATTTTAGATCCTATCATTTCCCAGGCACAATCTTTTGCATCCTTATCTCTAAATTTAGGATGATTTCTTTCCCAAATTTGAGGAAACTGTCTAATAATTGATACAAATTTATGCTGATCCATTAATTTTGAGGTTATAAACAATTATTAGAAATTAAGCAGGTTTCTTGGAGGAAGGTGAAATTTAATGCAATTGTCATCAACTTGGAGCAAAAAATAACTATGTAATTGTTGTTATGTACCACTGAATTCAGTATATCAATACTGAAGTAGAAATTAATTAACTTAAACAGTAATTTGTGAGAAATACCGCAATTTTCTGTCTTTCTCTTTCAACTTATGTGTCGAATTTACCTGTCTCACTTTACGTAATTTAGAGTTTCCCTCTCCAATTTTCAATTAAAATAATTGATTTAATTAAGATAATTGGTTTGTCGACCTTGTTTTACTTATTACAACGATAATGATTGTATTTTTTTTGCCTTGCCAAATAAAAAAAGAAAATACCTACCAAAAATTAGATTATGATGGAAATCTGTTAATTGCATAGGTACATACTATACCTAAAGATTTATTATTTTGAGTTTATAAAATTATCGATACTTGCCTATGAATACATGTTAACAAATGCAGCTCACACTATGGAAGCCTTTAATTTTTTTTAATTATCCACAGTAGTTATAAAATTAAGTAGTCTTCATGCTTATATACAGTGTATTCAGTTACCATTGCCCCATAGTTTACCAATAGAATTTACAATGAATTTTGTCAAAAATGCTTTGTTTACGAGATATAGCATGTTGAGGTTGAAATTTCATGTAAATATGAAAAACTAATGACGCATAACCTTCATTCTTGGGGTTCTTTCATAAAAACTAAATGTTATGTTGTCGATTGAAAAAGGAATGTCAGATTTCTACTGAAATTCTGTCAGGTCTGAGTATTTTGGTACGTCAATAAAATAGTTTCACTTTTCCAAACTTCAACACCTGCATCAGCAAAGAGTTTTTCAACAAAACTTAATTGCATATCTAGTTTATTTTTTTTTTAATTTTCAGATCAGTTGCAAATTGTGGTTGCCTCGGGTCCCTACACCTTACAAAACAGTCTCATGTTTGAACCTTTGAAAGATCTTTTGAAATATGTCTGCGAATACAAACCACATGTGCTCATATTAATTGGTCCTTTTTTGGAAAGAAACCATGAGAGTATTCTCAACGGAGGGCTTACACAAACTTTGGATTCCTTTTTTGAGGACCTCATAAAAAATATTATGAACTCTCTAAGGGATACTAATACACAAGTAATTATTGTTTCTTCGCAGAAGGAAGCTCATTATCACCCTGTGTATCCTACACCTCCATACAATGTTAGAGATAAATATAATAATTTGACATTTTTTCCCGATCCGTGCATGATAAATATAAATGGATTAGTAATTGGTGTTACATCAACTGATATTTTGTTTCACATTGGTAATTTTGAGATTTATCAGTAAGTCATTTATTTTTATATTTATTATTTTTCTTTTAACTATAAGTTTCAGTTTAAATTCTGAAAATATAGGAGTTAATTCTTTGTTGGAAAATAAGTGTAGTTTGTTCTATAAACTTTTCTTCAGGAGGCTTAGTTTTCGAGGTACAAATCTATAATAAATGAAAAATGGTGGTTTAATTGGTAGAATTTTAGTTTTATCACTGTGGTTGGTGGCCTGCAGCCAATGTTCGAGAATTATAAATTTATATAATACTGTTGAAAATTGTCAAAAGTCTTCCTAGTTTTTGAAAGCATGCACTGTTTACGAGTTATTGTGTTTTTTTTGTGGAGATTTAGATGGATATCTAAATTGGATTAATTTGTCTGAAGGTTTCTCTTAGGTTTATAATAGTAGTTACCAATACAAATGTGAGATAAATGAGGCAAAAAAGAAATCAGAAAATTTACTGGGCCACTTTGTTGAATTTGTTACTGTTTGTAACAGAAAAATAGAAAATCCCTCATTGTGTGCCCTTTTAAATTTTTAATGAAAAGCTTCATATTGACAATTAATTGATTTTCAACTGTCATTAGCAGATACGTATTGTTTTCTGTTTTACTTATGTACATAAATAGTCGGTATCTGTTTCGGGATGGATGTTTTATATAGTAACGGTAATTTTTGTTGGAAATAGTTCTAAATATTATGTAAAATGGTAATTGCGATATGCACCCACTGAAAAAGTTGTGTATAATTGTTAGGGTAAGAAAATTAAAAAAAATGTAAATGGCGCATTTTTCTCCCTTCTTTTATGTATAACTCGGAGAATATTAACATTAAAGAAAATAGTCAAAGGAAAAAAAGTTTCATTTTAAGATTCTCTTCAAAATAAAAGTGGTCTGAAATTTCTATGTGCATTATTGTTGCTGCAATACAGTATAGACCGAAAAGAAATTCATGAAAAAAGATGTTTTTTTCATGAATTTATTTCGAACCTTGACTTTAGAGCAGCCATACAAAAAGTTTGGTTCTGAGTACTTCATGATAAATGGTAGTATTGCAGAAATTTTTTCATCGAAATCGGCCGGGTAGATTTCGCACAATTCGATTGTTAATTAAGAAAATACAGTTATACTTATTTTTCAATTTTCTTTCACTTTGGCGTCTCAACTATCAATTCCCATTTAATTAGAATTTTTTCAAAATAAACTAAAAAATACTTATAAACATTTAGAGCTGGAGCTACCGTATTTGCATATTCTTCAAATGTAATTATATGATCAAATAGAGGCAGGATTGTCAAACAAAATCCACTTTTGATCTTGTGGATACTATGAATCGTCATCGAGATATGAAAGCTCAAAGTTGAAATGAGTTTACTGCAAAAAAACGTACTGTACAATAACAATCAAAAGTGATTTTGATTGTTTGAAGCAAAGAGTTTATAACATGAAAATTTGTTTAAATCGGAAATGTATTTTAACTGTTCTGATGCAAAAAAGATTGATACATTTCATACGAATCGAGCAGAGTCAAAAAGTGAGGAGTGGGGGGACAATATTCTCCGAGTTATACATGAAAGAAGGGAGAAAAATGTGCCTCTTTAATTTTCTTTTTCTTTTTCTTGCACAAACAATTATGTGTAACTTTTTCAGCGGGCGCATATCGCAATTATCATTTCACATAATATTTAGAACTATTTCCAACAAAAATTAGCGTTACTATATGAAACATCCATACAATCTATTTTTAAAACAGATATCGACTGGACTAAAATCCATAAATACATGCAGCACCTAAAATAAAAACAATTAGCAAGTAATTAGTGCAAATTCTTGAAAATTAGTCAGAAAATTGTGATAGATTTGGACCAATCAAATTTATTATTTTTTAGGAAAAATTCAGTGATGTACTTTTATTTGCATAAAAAATAAGGCTCTGCACTGGGCTGATGCCACTGTCAAAAATTAAAAAATCTTATAAGTTATACCACAAAATACTTAGATTCCTGTAATTTCAGAATTTAAATTTATATCACTTTGTGTGTTTCTTTATTTTTTATATTGCAAATGTTTCATTGTTTTTTATTGCAGAGCTAATTGAAGTTCTATTTTTAATTTTAAGTTCAGTGTGAGTAAAACTAAAAAAAAACTATTTGAATACCTGTAACTTTTTTGTAGAGATAAGAATCCTGCTGCTCCTTCTGACCGAATGGGGAGATTAGCTTCTCATCTTTTAAATCAGCACAGTTTTTATCCACTGTATCCACCCCATAATGGAATTTGTATAGACCACGAGCTTTTTGAACAATATGGCGTTATGGAATGTAAACCTCACATTTTAATAGTTCCATCCAATTTGAGACACTTTATTAAGGTAAAACATATAAAGGGTAGTTATAAATTGTCTCTCGATATTTTCAGAATGGCTAGCAAATAAAAAATAAGGGAACGTTTTTAAAAGAACCTTAGTCAGAAAATAGATGAGATATACCCATTTAAAAAAAGATGTTGATCTGTTTTTCATGGCATCTTAAATATTTCCTGAGATATCTTAATTCATATTTTAAATATCGACTTAAACTATGGTTACTTTACATATAATAAAGTAAATATTGATCAAGCACGGTGCACACGTGATAGGCATGTGGCAACGAGATTACTAGTCGAAATGCAGTTATTTACTTCGTTGGAATATGAAAAATGACCATAGTATATGGAGACTAATCTATTTGGATATTTATTTAGTCAAATTTTATATCTTGATAAGGGGTAGGTTTAGAGAATGATGGTTGCTATTTCATCCTATCGTTACTTTATTCAAACAACTTATTTAAAATGTTAATCTAAAGATTCTGGTCTAAAGACCAGAGGTGGCCAACCGTCTACTTAACACGTTAACGGCCATGGTGGTCACCAGTGACCGACGTACAACTTTCCCATGACACTCTGACGGTCACCTATGACTGATCTCAATACAATCTTGGTAGGCCGCATGGCCGTTTATTTATGCACTTTCGCTTATAGATATGACCACTGTGGCCCTGACAGAGGTCTCAGCATTGCTAGGTTTGAATTCTGGAGATTCATATCTTTTTGATTATGAAAAATTAAGTAAACACTATACTAATGTTCTAGGATGAGACGACATTTATTATATAGGTAAGTATGTTACATGTATGTGTTAGAAAAAGAATAAGTAACATATTATTTATGACATGCAGTGAAACAATCTAAACAGTAATCTGGTTAACCCTCACAATCCTTGCAGTAAGTTGTCACTTTTTTACTTTGTTGTTATTTCTCCTCTTCTTGTTTCTTCTGGTAATGTCCTCTGCAATATTTTCTTGTTGCTGCTTTTGATTTATCAGTTTGTGAAACATTTTCTTTATTCGGAGAATTATATGAATTTGAAGAAACCAATTTATTATCATCACTTGCTTGGTAAGTTGGATCAGCGAGTCAGATGAATAGGGCTCACATTCTATTGCGAAAAATATAATCAATATCATTTCATAACTGCATTTCTAATAATGAACTTACCATCATTCAAAAAGTTTTGCACTTTGTCATGGCAATCATTCGTTTGACTATCACTAACAAATTTTTCCGCCATTTTCAGGCCCTATGACACTATTATGTGTACGAGCTTGCGGTAACGATTGTACCAAAAAATTCCTCTTCAATATTCTTCCAAAATGCATAGGTTCCAAGATATAAGTAAAAAACTCGGATAAAATAGGTATTTTTTAAAATATTTTAAACATTTTTGCAATTTTAAAAATGTTCCTGATCTCGCCCAGATCTAGAGATCTACACTTTTATTATGTGAGTTGTACTGAAGGTAATCCAGAAAAAATTTGCTTGCTCCCTCTCGCATCCACCTCAAAACAGATCCGCCCTGGTCTATATAGTAATTAATTGTCTGAAATGTATATTTTAATAATCATATGCGATCACATCGATTGATTAAATAATAGTACTTATCGATTAAATAATAGTATTTATTTTTTTGAGAGAAAAACTTTTATCAAAACATTTTTAAAGGAAGATAAACACAGTGAATGTCATTCCTCTAAAACTACTCCTTACATAACATATGGCATTTGAATATGCATAAATTAGTATCCAGATGCCCGGAGTCTAAAAAGATAAATAGAAATGTTCAAGAACTTTAAGATATTTCAGAAAACAAGTTGAACTGATTTTCCTGAAAATATGTGCGGACAATTTAAGACCATTCTTTATATTTTCAAACAATAAACGGCTCTTTCATATTTTTACCTTTCAGAATATTCAAGACTGTGTGGTTATTAACCCTGAACGTTTAACTAAAGCTTATGTCGCTGGCACTTTTGCAAGAATTGAAGTAAACCCTGGTACTAGCCAATCTATTTGTAATCGAACTGTTTGTGAAGTACTACGAGTGTAACTGAATTTAAAATTTATTTATTTTTCCGTGTTAATAAAAATGGATTCAATGCAGCTAATTGTTTTATTTTGCCTTATAAATTCAGAAATAAAGATATAAAACGTAAGTGAGAAAGTGTACATTTTTCAAGTGAACGACGCATATCAAATACATAATGGGTAAATATGGTAAGTACATGGTCATGCATATATCTTGAAAAATGCGTTTTTCTTGAAAATGATCGAAGATAATTAAATCCTGAAAATAGTGTTATATTTTCAGTGGCTGTGGCTCAGCTATAGGATAAAAAATGTATTTATACTGCTTAACAATTTTTTAACAAGGCATTAGAGAAGTGCTTTTTTGAACTTCTTCTGCAGTTATTAAATCTAAATATATTAATAAATCAATATATATATATATATATATATATACAGGGTGTTTGTAAGTAAGTGCAAAATATTTTAGGGGGTGGTTGTCGAAGTTATTTTGTGAAAAAGTTCATATAAACATAAGTTGAAATATGCTTCGTTTCCGAGATACAGAGTGTTTTAATTTTAATTTTTCATTTATTTTTGTTAATTATTTCAGTTTTCAAGATATTTACTCGAAATTTGATGGTTGCATTTTATTTAGAAATATTAACAGCAACCTACTAGATAATGTATCAATAGAAATTAAAAATACACAGCTTGCAATAAAATATGTTTTATTTTTTTCCTCTAAAATGGTGCATACTACGAAACAAATTGAAGAGATCAATTTCATTGTGATGGCAGATTTCTAAAAAAATATCAAAACTGGAAAAAGTTAGTGGCATACCATTTTTTTTTTATAAAAAAAGGTGGCATTCTCGCACGAACGCCACTGGTGCAAGTAAAAATATTCGGATCATCCCAAAAAATGCACATTTATCCCTCCAAAGCATTTTTCAATTTTCGAGTCAATATCTTTAAAACTCTGAAAGAATTAATAAAAATAAATTAATTAAAATTTAAACACTGTGTATCTTGGAAACGAAGCATATTTCGACCAACTATATGAACTTTTTTTCACAAAATAACTTCGTCAACCACTCCCTAAAATAATTTGCACTTATTTACAAACACCCTGTATATTTTTTATAAGGTATTTTCTTACTCTCTTAATTCCTGTATTCTATTTAATCTGATAGCTTTTTCACACTATATCTCAAAAACGAGGGCTTCAAGGGCACATTTTTATACACAATTTTTGATACTGTGCTATACAGGGTGTTCTCAAAGTTGAGTCATTTATTTTAACAGTTGGTAGAAATCATAAAAAAAAGTCGATTTACCAAAAATCGTTTATTAACAATTATTTAAAACAATTGAAATTTAAAAACTTTATAATATAAACCTGATTTATTGTCATTTTTGACCACTACGTTGTTAAAAACAAATTGTTTACTACTGATACTGGGTATGTGTTTTTTTTGTAGTTCCATGGTTTTGAGTACGCTTTTCGATTTGACAGTGCTAAATTATTCGCACAGTAGTGAGTGATATTATTTTTAATTTGTGTGTGTTTTGTGCAATTATATTATGTCCACTCGTTCATTGTTTTCATAACATGTGCCATTTCTATTGCACAAAACATCGACAAATCAAAAAGAGTACACAAAACCGTGCAACTACAAAAAATTGACATACCCAGTATAAGTAGTAAACAAACAATTTATGTTTTTACAACGGAGTGGTAGAAAATGACAATAAATCAGGTTTGTATTATAAAGTTTTTAAATTTAAAATTTTTTAAATAATTGTTAATGATTGCTTTATTTGACAACGTTTATATAAACGATTATTGGTAAATGGACTTTTTTTTATGAGCTACTAGCTGTTAAAATAAATGACTCAGCTTTGAGAACACCCTGTATATTTTAAAATCTAAATTATCATTTCACATTATTAATTTGTACCAAATTGATAAAAACAATCCCAAAAATTTAAGAGATTAGTACAAAATAAAATTTGCATTTTAAAAACGAAAATATATTTTACCTGTGGCGTTCCGCATATCTGTCACTGGTTTGTGTTGAGACTTAATTTTTAATAATAAATGCCATTTTATTCATGTATTGCACACTTAAGGAGTTTCGAGATGTAATTGTATTAAAAAACCAGTTGGAACATCCTGTACCTTGGAAACTAAGTACCTATCTCCCAATCTATGTTTATGGGAACTTTTTTTTATATTAAGGTGTTCTATTACTTATGCGATTTGAGACACTCTGTACAATAAATATGAAGTCAGTTGAAATAGGTAGTAAACTTTAATCAATAATTTGCACAAAATTTTCAAATAAATATAAGTAAGCTTCCTTCAATGTCTTTAAGTTATCTCAAAATGTGTTTGTCCTTACAAGTTTTATTGTTCTTACCTTTTTATTTAGTGAATGCAGATGAAATTAATAACCTGGTTTTCAAGTACAAATATAGAAATGTTCGCCGTTGTGATAAAATAGAAGACGACCTACTGCCTTTTTACAGGCAAAATATACTAGAAAGTCCGCTATATCTAATGCTTCTCATATTTTTGGGAATTATACTTATACTTATGTTTTTAGGTTTGCAAAACTAATGAAACATTAAATGTGTATAAAAAAATTGCTTTAGGTTGTTATAGGTATCGTCAAAGGTCTAATAGGCTTGTTTTGTATGAAAAAAATTGGAGAACTTGGACTGGGACTATTAGTTGATTTACCAAAACCATTGGAAAGCTATCAAGAAACGGAGCTTATGCAGAGACCAGTTATTTATGATGTTGGCGGTTGGCCCGTTCATCCTGACACCAAAGAAAGAACAGTGAGAATACTTCCAAAGTAGGTCTAAAACTGTAAAGGGTGGTCCTTAAGAACATTCCCATAATATAGGTGATTCTTTAGATCGTTTTAAGGAAAAAAAAAATCCTGCGGATTTATGTGATATCTGCTTAGTTTTCTAGAATATAGAATATAATGTCGCACGTATTGATAAATATTTGATGCATTTTGTGGGTTGGCTACACTGATACAAGTAGATAGTTCATCATATTTGATTTGAGTGTGGTCTGCTTTCAAATTGTTTGAGCTGAAGTTTGGCATAAGCCGGGAATGAACATACAGTTGCAAATTGTAAAATATGATTTAAGCGAAAATTTTTACTTTTCATTCAAATTAACTAATCAAATCAATATTTGCAAATCGCAATTTGCAAAGCCCACTATACAGGGTGTCCCAGTGTCAGCATACAAAAATTTATCAGGGGATAGACCAGACCAAAATAAGATTAAAATTCTTATTATTATGGAATTTTCCAACAACAAATATGTCGATATGATATTTGTCTACGGTTTCTGTGATGGAAATTTATTGGTGACCTCACGAGAATATCTACGCAGATTTCCAAACAGAAGGCAACCTTCACAGCACGTATTCCAATGAGTTTTCCAAAGAGTCTGTGAGATCGTGAGTGTTAAAATTGGAAATACCAGAATAAGAGGTAATTTGGAAGATGCAAACACTTTAGAAGAAAATGTAATAGCTGCTGTTGTTGATGATCCTTCCACCAATGTCCGAAGAATATCAACACAAGTGGTATTCCACGAAGCAGCATCTGGAGAATTTTAAACCGAGAAATGCACCCATATCATCTACATAAAATATAAACTTTGCATCCTGGTGGCTGGATTGGGAAAAATGGGCCTATTATGTGGCCTCCCAGGTTCCCTGATCTCAACCCCCTTGTTTTTTTTACTGGGGTCATATGAAGCAACTGATGTATACCAAACCCAGTAACAAGAGTTTTTAGTTCCCCTATACTTAACCAAATATTATATAATTCATAGAAAACTTGTTTAGTTTCTTCATATTAATTGAGCCACAGCTACATGGGAAACTGTACTTCAACGGTAAACAACCTTGTTTTTTATAGTGACAGATACCTATTAGATAATAAGAAATAAAATCTAGAAGTATTTTTCTACTAATGAATGCAGTCGATAATTTATACCCAATTTACTCAGAAACGGTTAATTTTTGAGCTATGAAATAAGCATATTTTTTGTTCAGAATCGATTGCAGATTCAGGAAAACAATCAAATTACATAAAACTAGGATATGGAAAAGTTATGAAGCCCCTTCTGGTAAATTTTTGTACGCTGACACTGGGACACCCTGTAGGGGGTGATTGGGGTGTTAATCGGAATAATCACCAGGTGATAGAACAAATCATTTTAAACAAAAAATTCCATATGAATATGTGTGTAATTCGATTGATTTTCGAGATACAGTGTGTTGAAATTTGAAAGAAGTGTTGAACTTTCTGAAATATCTCTGAATGTTTGTCATGGAGTGATGAAATTTGGGCTATTGCAAATTAATTTAGTTTTCATTACTAATACCGATTTTACGAAAGAAGATCTATTCCATTATGTTCGAAGACGAGCCATTTTGAGTTCTCTACTCATATTATTATTAGAATGTACTGAATGACCACTCTGTATGAGCAAATAAACAGGTTCACTGCAGCATAAATGTGTCCCTACTGAAATGTTGCAGGCCTTGGTTTTTAATAACACTACAAATTTATTTTTATTTTAGGAAAACTGAATTTTGTTTAAATATTACATTCTTTATAGCATATCCTTTAGCGCTGATACTAAAACTCTGTGCACTGTGTTGCTGTATAAAGAATTACTCTGGTGATGAAAAAAATTGCTTTAAATCTATAAATATTATAAAATTTAACGAAGGAATAGCGAAAAAGGTAAAGTATACATTATACTCTCAGATGTATTTATAATTTATATTTGTATGCATACAAGAAAAATATTGACTTTTCAAAACAAGTTTTGCGTTTAAAAATTCAATATGAAGTAAGACAAACATGGCTCGAGGCTTGGCAAACTGTCTCGGTCTCACTTTGAAGTGTTAGATTGAAGGATGGAATCAATTGTGGTGACAAAACTTGCCATTTTCATATTTAAAAATATATTTTTTCCAACATCTATTTTTGTCAATTCTGGACATAACCACAAACACAGCATATACCACCATTAATTCAAAATATAAATCAATAACGGAATTGCCGCCTCGTTCATTGTTTGTTCAAGTGAATGGCAATATCAGGAAATGATGCATCCGTTCTGCTTTTCCCTGACTGAGGATCTGTTATTAGCCAGACGAGGCAGATTGGAAACAAAAACCGTGTCATACAAACCAAATTGTTTTGAAGTATCCACTCTCCAAAGAAGGCATTCGAACAGCCTTGGCATCGCATCAAGGCAGTTTATTACTGCAAACTGCCTTGGTGTGACGCTACTAGAGATAAGTCTAGAATAGTGTTTATATTTGTATATTTGTAGTTAGGCTGTAATTGAAAAAGGATTTAGGATTTAATTGAAAAATCTACAAATGAGGTTTTTGATCTGCCTTTCCTTGCCTCTGTATGTATGTGTACCTGATACAGGATGTAACACACAAATGGAGGTTATATTTATAAGGAGGCTACTTGTGATCTTTAAAAACACATATCACAAATAAAGGTTGTTTTATCAATTTCTATCATGAAACTGAAACAATAACCTTTTCTCTTAATTTTCATACTCTTTGTTGGACAAGCTAGTGTAACTTCAAACAACTGTGCAAGCTATTCGAAACAGTAAACTACGGCATGATTGTTAACCAATTCTCATTGCTTGATTCTTATTTTTTTCTTATCACAGAAATTTAACACTGTATTCATACAAATATACCACACCAAAAAATCAATTCTTCACCCAGAAAGTATCAAAATTACTTAATATATTACAAACAACTCATAAATCGATAAACTGAAGATTTTGATATTTTCCTTTTGTCTGTATACTATTATGTTCTGTTTTATACACTCTTGTTTTTCAATAATTACTATTATATGATGTAGGTACTTAGTGGAATAATTTCCTGGTTTTGACGTGTGTAAACACAATGTGTAATAACACTAATAGTTACGTATAAATAAATAGATTAAAACAATTGTGATAGAATGAAGCAGTATCATACCCGTGTTGCCAAATTAAAGTTGTCATTTGTTACTTGTCCACCTAGTACCCTGCTGTTATCACATCTGGTGGATTGATATTAGGCTTTTTTCGCAAGTGAAGTCGTATGTTGTAGTCTGTGTAGTATGAGAGAATGAAGAGATTTAAACTACCATATGACAATTAAGATCAAAAGAGATAGAAATAGTAACTACAAGTCAGATATTCACCAATATTATCACGAAAAAAATACCATTATGTAGTTCACCTAAACTAGGTGAACGTTGGAGGTCATGGACACTGCGATTCACCAATTAAATACAGTGCTTTAAATAATAATAACTTTTTGTTAAAAGCAAGTAATTTAAAAAATATTTCAAGTGTATCGGATTATTAAATATTTTTATACAGTGTGTTTCACTTAAAGTCGATACACCTCCATATTTAGGAGGGCGTTAACCGATTTCTAAAACTCTTTTTTTTATATGGTAGTACTCAAAAAGGCCTACTTTTTGATATTATATTTTTTGACATGGGATCCTTTCTACGGCTTCCTATCATTAAGAAAAGACTCCCAAAAATTAAAAAACATAAGGTATTTTTTTAAGAAAGAAATAGATAGCATTTTAGATTTGATCACACCTCAAAACCCTAAATACAAAGTTTCATTATTATAGCTTTTACAGGGTGTTCAGAAAATAGGTGCAAACTTCAAAATATTTCACTCATTGTAGTGTCCTGTATTAACAGTGGAAAATATTTTCAAGGTATTTTTCCAAAATTTTATTAACCGAAGGTATATGCATAGTTTTATTGATTTCGCTCATACAGGATCCTCGCAATAAGATATATATTTTTTATTATACCAGAAATGAGTTTCGGAACGAAATAAATTTTAAATATTACTGTTTTCTATTAGTCCCCCTTCATTTGGTATGTACTGTTCAATTCGTCTCCTCTTATTTCTTATAACTCTCCTCAACCGATGTGGCGTTATTTGTCAACATGCTTTTCTAATTCTATTACATAAATCTTCTCTGTTCTGGGGCCTTGTTTTATACAATTTATTTTTCACAGTTCCCCATAAAAAGAAATCAAGAGGCGTCAAGTCTGGAGCTTTTGATGGCCACTCAACTAACGGACTGTTGCGACCTATCCACTGTCTCGGAAAATTCTCATTCAATCAATGACGTACTATTACCGCATTATGAATAGGTGCTCCATCTAGTTGAAGGTAGAGGTTCTGTCTTACATGACGAGGACCACATCAGTTGAGGAGACTTATTATAAATAAGAGGAGACGAATTAAACAGTGTATACCAAATGATGGCGAGCTAATAGAAAACAGTAATTTTTAAATATTATTTCGTTTTGAAACTCATTTCTGGTGTAATAAAAGAAATATATAATTTGGTTGTCTTATTGTGTGCACCCTGTATGAGTGAAATCAATGAAACTGTATGCATATACCTTCGGTTAATAAAAATTTGGAAAAATACCTTGGAAAATATTTTCCACTGTTAATACAGGAAACTCTGCAATGAGTGAAATTTTTCGAAGTTTGCACCTATTTTGTGAACACCTTGCAAAAGCTATAATAATGAAACTTTGTTTTTAGAATTTTGAGATGTGATAAAATTGAAAACGCTATTCGCTTCTTTCTTAAAAAATGTGTTTTTTAATTTTTGAGGATCTTTTCTTACTGATAGTAGGCTGTAGAAAAGATCACATCAAAAAATATTATATCACACATAAAAAAAAGAATTTTGGAAATTGGCCAACTCCATCCTAAATACGAAGGTGTTCCGACTTTAAGTGAAAATATTATGTATATTTTGTTCATTTTTTAAAAACATTTGATGGGCAAGACCAATGTATAATTTAAAAGATGTTTTGAACCTTCTAGAAAAAGGGGAAAAAGTTTCAGGAAACATTTTTGCTCCGAAACTACTACCTGGGGCACATAGATACCTGCTGGAAGGGTGCAGCATAATAACTTACCTTTTGATTACTAATACTACTAACAGATGCCATTAGGAGTTTTTCTTCAATTAGAAGCATTTTTAAATGAAAATACGTTATATAGCACATATGAGTCCTCTAGTATCAAAACCCCTTAAATCCGTTTTTGATGAAAAATGAGATATACGCTTCAAAATATTCCTACTAAAATTCCCTATAGATGTGTTCATTCGAATTATTGCAAAAGTCACCTAATATAATAGTAGGTGACTTTTGCAATCATTCGAATGAACACATCAATAGGGAATTTTAGTAGGAATATTTTGATGTGTATATCTCATTCTTCATCAAAAACGGATTTAAGGGGTTTTGGTACTAGAGGACTCATATCTCAAAACTTTAGAAGCGTTTTTCTTGACACACGATTTTTTAAATAAGTTAATTTTAACATTTATCAAAAATTGAACTTTTTACTTCAAATTCTCGCTAATCACACAAAAATTAATGTTTTCAGAACCCATACATGTTTCTCTAACCATATTCATGTAGATTAAAGGAAAAATTTTTGTTTTTTACCATATGCAAATTTGTGTCAGTTATACTGCGTCCCGCAGAGCGCCTCAAGTTCAATAAGCCTCACGAGAATGGCTCCAGCGTCTCCATTTTGTAATATTTATGAATATATTTCTTTGAACAACACTAAAAGAGATCGTTAATAATTTCCTAGAATATTATTATCTCTTACTTTTCCTTCCATTAGAAAAAAATCGCAAAAAACCCTTTATTTTAACATTTTAAATGACATTCAAAAAAGGAAGCTGTCCAAGAGTCTTAAGTGCATTATAAAAAACGAATGACTATTTATTCGATTTAAAAAAATATATATTTCGGATTAGTATTCTGGGAGACATGTTCTATTGCCCCAGAAAAGTAACCCCCACATATAGTTACATCCTATATATTTTTTTTAGGATCAATATCGCCCACCAGGACAAAAAATTGATATGTATAAAGAGAATGATGCTAAAGAAGAAGAAGATACTAAATATGTGTTAAATATGATGAGGCAAAGTCAGATATCTCTTCTGAAACAGGGATAAATAAATTAGAAATATGGTGTAACGAATGGAAAAACAGATAAAAAAATTCCCATTACGATTCATATATTTTTCCTCGTCGAGGTATAATACTACAAATGTCACATAAAAAATAATATAAATAAAGTTGCATACAAGAACTAACAAAATATAATTGAAATTCTTTTAAATTAACTAAAGAAAATGAGATTCACCAGCGTCTTCCACCAAAACCGCCTCTACCCCTTCCTGTGCCTCTTCCGCTGCTATCTTTCTTCTCCTTCCAGACAGTATACCTCTCTGCCATATTATGTAATTCATGTGGAATCTCCTGTAGGGAAACACACATTGAGATTATATTGTTGTAGTTCAGGTTTTATTTGTTTAGTTATTATAGTTTAGTTTTTAGTACATATCAGTGATGTGTATTGTAGTGATGTTCCATATTTTTTATCTGACTTTAGTGCCAGACTTAACAGAAGAATTGTTACTGATCCCTATTTTTATTGGTGACAAAGACTTGTTTAACCTTTTCTACTACACTGATAAGAAGGCAAGGTAATAGAATATTTGTAATTTTTGATATTTATGGTATATGTAGTTTGGACCTTGAATAATTTTCCGAAGTAGTTCGACGCAACGTTAATAAATTACCGAGATAATCGATTTTGAAGTTTTAGCCAACTATATCTACTAGATACGACACATTTTTCAATTGAGAGCGTGGCCTAGTTGGTAGCGTTCGAGTCCGACAGTCACGAGATCGCTGGTTTCATAATTTATTTTTAAAGACAACTGAACTTCGCATAAACTTTTCCTATGTTGGCATATTTCATGTGTGATTGATACAGAAATTCAACTGTTAACATCTATTATGATGTCTGAAAAATATTGATCTCTAGATTATTGAGAAAAAAAGTCAAAATGTATGATATTCAGAGTTTACACGATTTACATATTATTTTGAATAATTTCTGTATAACAAATAAAGTGATTGCTTGAAAAAATTCAAGAAAACATTTGAAAATACAAAAAATATTTGAAAATTTGATCTTTTTTTAAAACCATAATACTTATTACATATTTGATGAAATTTTTTGAAATGTGTAAATTTTCAAGCAATGAAATCAAATTTTTTGTATCTAATTGATCATAAAATGATATAGAGAAGTGGCAAAAAATGTCCAATTTCTTGAAGCGACTTCATGAATTAATTGATCAATAAATTGTCAATGTAAAACAGCTATAAGATGAATATGAACAGCTATAATGACATAATTACTAATATTAGAAATTTTTTATATTAGGATATAATTTACTATAAATATGATATGCATCATATTGAAGGCCAAATGCATACCTTGTCGAGTAGTCAACACTGGAATTTAGGTTCCTAAATTTTGATTTTTTTTTTTTCAAAACAGCTAATATATGCAAGTTAATGTTAAAATTATTTTTTCCTTAAAGGTTTTTCAACAAGATTCCCAATAATTAATATATTATACAGGAAACTGATAGCTCTTTTTTGCAGTACGAAAATACGATCTGCAGAATCCGTCCAAAAGATCACCACATCTAATTCGAGCTTTGAGAAATAAAGTTTTCACCATATTTTCACTACAGATTTTAAATAACTCCTTTATAGCAAAGCAACTGGTACATTTCATCCACATGCACATTTCAATTTCTATATGGCATACTTATGTATATACCCAAAGCCATAAAACTTGAAACTTTTTTACAGTTCAAAATTAACAAATTCTCTGAAATATTGACATATATATGCTCTACGTTTACGTTTAATTCATTAGTTACATGTTTAGCTGATTCACCACATGAAACGGCTGCAATATCATCAGCAATTCTTTTGTTTGAACTAAAATTTTAATTACAACCTAATGGTGGTAAGTCTCAAAAACTAATCGTATAGAAAATTTGCAATTTGTTAGAAGTACCACAAAAAAATTGCATTAATTATTTTATCGGTCGATAGCCGCACGGTTTAAGGCGTCAGTACTTAAATCGATGTGTGCTATCTGCCCGGGTTTCGAATCCCGCGGCCGGTAGACCGTAGATTAGCTATGCTTGTACGGAGGATTGGCACCCTCTGTGCAGGTATGGTAGGGTGGAAGAATGTTGGCTTGGGTCAATGTGAGAGATTGACACCGGTTGGCATATGACCACCCCCCTAATTAATGAGGTTTTCCAAGTTTCCCTCATTCCTGCACTGAATGGTGGTTAGGGCCTACCAACATAAGTCGTTCGTGGGTGCAAATGCGGCCTGCTTAATAATAATATGCTGCCTCCTCTCCCGCACAAGTCTCCGACTTCTGGGCTAATTCTCGTAGTTAGAATGAGGAGTAGAGATATTATTATTATTATTATTGGATTTTGTTCGTAATTGCATAGTACTTAAGTAGTATCACTTTAAAAATTTTTTTTTTATTGGCTTAAAATATGCTAAAAACTGTTTTGTATGAAAAGGACTCAGAAATATCCGTCAAATTAATTTTTCCAAAGCAACTTCGAAGCGTAAAAATAGCAGATTTCGCTTGTATCATCAATACAACATTTTTGAATTTCGTGTACGTAAAAACGCCTATAACTTACCGATCATCGAGAAAATATTTCAAATTCGATTTTTTTGTCAAAAATTCGAATTTTTTGTTCAAGGTCTCGCCAGTTTGCGAAAAAAATTCCTAAAATTATGACCATATGTAGTTCACTAGCTAAACTCATGTAGTTTATGAAAAAAAATTTTTTTGCTTTCAGATGGTGATCCAGGGGACTTCTACTGCTCGCCGAGGCAGACCTTTGATAAATTTAGTTTTGTTCATGCACTCCTACAGCTGCCATTTCCCAACAAATTTTCAATAAAAAATTTACTCTTACTCCTGAAGAGTTGCTTAGTCGATTGGTGTACATATTGGTTGTTCATGATTATTATAAAAGAATTATCAAAAAAAAAAAAATTATTGAAAAAACTTTTTTTTTTTTTGGGGCTCCAAAGTGATATAACCCCTTAATATTTTGTTTATTTATTATATAGCATATACATATATAAGAAAAAATTAATTTTTTTGTGTAACGAGTAGTTAAAAAAAGGAACAAATCAAAAATGGTTAGAAATGAAAGAAGAATATCTTGGAAACATCATACTTACAAGTAGCGACCAAATTTTCAAAATATTCAGTGGTGTCGAATTTTTGAGGTTTTTAGTAACTCCCAGTCTGATTTTTAAATTTCAATACTCTGTACCTCAAAAATTATTGATTTGGGGACCATTGCTTACGAAACTTTTTTGATTTAAAAAATCACTCAAAGGCCTCATGGTATAAAAAAAAATGAGAAAATTTGCATACAATTACAAGGCTTGAGTAAATGCATCTTGTCCATGAGAGGTGCAGATAAGACAGCAATAAAGATGGGAGATCTTAATAGTAGCGCAGTAGGTTAAGACGGAGAATGAGCTCTAATGTTAGTCTGGCAACATTGCCACTGTACATTTGAAACTCGCAAACAAGATGAATTTGGTCAAGCTGTACGAGTGTTGTATTTTCAGCTTCAATAGTATCCACATACCTGCTGAGCCTCTTCTAATATATTAATAAGATCCTTAGCTTGCCCCCAGTCATTTCTTGTGAAATAACTAATGGATTCTCCCAACTTGCCTGCTCTACCCGTGCGGCCTACTCTGTGAACGTATTCTTCTATATTTTTCGGAAAATCGTAATTCAATACATGCCTGAAACAGACAGATTAAAATTCCCACTAAAATGTCGATTGAAGTACTCACGTAATATCATCTATATCCAATCCTCTAGATGCTACATCAGTCGCTATAAGAATTTTAACAGTGCCGTTAGCGATATCTATCAGTGCTTGTTCTCTATCGCTTTGTTCTCTATTGCCATGTATGGATTGGCAATCTATGCCAGCAAGTACTAATTCTGAAGATATCTCGTCGGCACGTGATTTTTTTCCACAGAAAACGATCATTTTTTGATCTGGACTCATATTGCGGACAAAATCCATCAACTAATATACAAACGAGAAAATATAAATAAAAAAATATAAGAATGATGTTTGACGTCTTAAGAAAATTTAAAACATCCAAATTGAAATGAGAATTTTTTGGTGACAAGTCAAATTTTTTTAAATAAGTTATTAAAAATACATGTTTCAACATTTCACTCTTATGATACTCACAGTTTGCAATTTGATTTCATCATCATCTGGCATCATTTCGATGATCTGAGTAACGGTGTGTGTAGCTGCTAAATCTAAACTGCCCACATAAACTTGAATGGGATCATTCATGTAGGAATCAGCTAGCCGCCTCACCCCCGGAGGCCATGTGGCGCTCGTCATTACAGTCTGTCTGGTTGGTCTGATCGCATACATAACTTTGCGAATCTGTGGTTCAAATCCCATATCTAACATGCGATCTGCTTCGTCTAATACAACATATGTGACCGTCTTCACATTCAAATGCCCTACGAATGTGAAACATACTTTATTGACTGAAAGAGCAACAACTTTCAGATTTGTTACTATATTCAGTAACTTATACTTGGAAATAACAACCTATAGTCTAATATCCGAACTAGAAATGACCTTCACCCATCTGTTTAATGGATGAAAAGTATTTTATATCAAATTTAATATATTAGAAAATATATCTCGAGTGGGATGGCTAAAACATTCCTGGCCAGAGTATGATTAATTAAAAATTGAAAAGTGACTTTTTATTAAATATTGCACTCATGAGTTTAACGAATAAATTTAATACCAACCGAAAGTATGAAGCCTATAGAATATACAAACATTGGCTGGCAATTTTTTTCCTGGTGTAACTACTGGGTTAGCAGGTATAAATAGGTAAATCGATACTAGTTATTTTCACCTATTTGTTTAATGTCTAGTTTTGAGAGGTGAAAATTTTATGCGAGTGGAAACTTGTGACAAAGAAGTCCAAGCTAAATATCCCGTACGATAGAAGAGGACACAGAGTTGTAGCTGCGCGCGACGTGATGAAAGAGAGCGCGTATGCTATTTATTCATGCAACAGAGAAGGATAGCGATATATTAGTAAATACTAAACATTATTTTGGAGCAACTGGCATTAGAGTTGAGAAAACAACGATAAATATATAATATATTAAATAATAATATAATATTATATGTGGCATTACAATATATCGCGTGCCTAATCCCAAAAAAGGTATATGCTATATATAGGTCCACCGTAGGAGCCAAAATAGCAAATAAAAAATTGTTTTTGCTTATCGCTTTGAAATCACTTCAAATGAGTATATTCTTACAATAAAAGAAATTAATGCCAAAAAGGCATATATATTTTTTTCAACAGGCCTTTTTGGCATTTATTATTTATTTTATTACTTTTATACTTCTGAAGTGATTAGCAATCTAAAAAAAAAGTTTGGCGCAATATAAATGTTCTGAATAAAAATATGATAGCGATATGTACTTATCTTGAAATTTTTTTGTTATTTCAGGAAAATAAATAAAAATGAACAAAGTTAAGTCAAAAACTTAAAAATTTTTTATGAAATGCTAACTTCAATGAACAGTTTTTAAAAGTTTCATCGTTAAAATCAATCAAAGAATCGTCCGAGTTACACAAAAAACACTTTTTAGCCATTTTTCATTACAATATATTGTCAATAAACAACTATACGTAGCAACACGTGTTTGCATTCTCAATATTTTAGGTTATTAACCACTCCAAAATAATGCTCAGTATTTACTAATGTATCGCTATCCTTCTCTGTTGCATGAACAAATGGCATGCGCAGTCTCTTTCATCTGGCGGTCACGTCGCACGCAGCTGCAATGTTGTGTTCTCTTCTATCGCACAGGATATTTAGCTCGGACCTCTTTGTCACAAGTTTCCACTCACATAAAATTTTCACCTTTCAACACTCGACAACTGTCATTCAGGCCAGATTTTTTACAGACAACCCTATATCATCGTGTTCGCAATTAAATAGTGCTTATTTTGATATAAGATTTATTTATTAAATAAATAGGTGAAAATAACTAGTATCAATTTATCTGTTTATACCTGCCAACCCAGTAGTTATGCCAGGAAAAAAATTGACAACCCAACGTATATTCTATAGGCTTCATACTTTCGGTTGGTATTAAAGAACCCCGCACAAAACATATAGAAATTGAACACCGGTCAATTATTATGAAACTTCGTATTTTGATAGTCCTTGTCATGCTGATCAAAAGTCTCAATGGGCACGAAGCCCTACAACCCCTTCCAACCCCCCAAAACCATCCCCAAAGATCAGGGTAATTAACTTGACAGATTGCAGGTCAATTGGCTGACCGGAATATTTCACTACTGTAGTCGAACCTACAGACACCTATAACTAGGCTTAAGACTATCAATAGGCACCGAGCCCTGCAACCCCCACCAACCCCCAAAGGTCAGGGGGATGCACTTGTCAGATTATCGGTCAATAAAACTACCGAAATATTTTACGATTGCAGTCGAACATACAGCCACCCAAACTGTAACTAGGTTTAAGACTACTATCTCCAAAACACTTAACCCCCATCCCTCTCCCTCCCCACCAACTACCAAAGCCTGTCATGTGACTTTTCCCTGCTTACTGGTGTGTAAATGTTTATTCCATCTCACAGTCACCTAAACGATCACTATTCTCCGACGCCGACCCCCGACAATTGAACCACCCATCACCAACCCAACTCCTACGGTTGGGGTTGGACCAACCCCAATTCTTATCGAAGCCTGACATGACTTATCCCTGCTTATGGCTTATGAAACCGTTCAATGTTGAATTCCACCCTACACCCATCTTATTGTTTAATACCCTTTAACCCACAAAAACTACTAAAATCTGACATAAGATTTTTTGCCATTTGTGGGATGTGAAACCCTAGCTGTAGGTTCGATTGCAGTAGGAAAATATTTCGGTAGATTTATTGACTGATAATAATCTGTCAAGTGCATCCCCCTGACATTTGGGGGTGGTTTTGGGGGGTTGGAAGGGGTTGTAGGGCTTCGTGCCTATTGAAACTTTTGATTAGCATGATGAGGACTATCAAAATATGAAGTTTCATAAAAATTGACCAGTGTTCAATTTCCATATGTTTTGTGCGGGGTTCTTTATTCGTTAAACTCATGAGTGTGGTATTTAATAAAAAGTAATTTTTCAATTTTTAATTAATCATACTCTGTCCAGGAATTTTTTAGCCAACCCACTCGAGATATATTTTTTAATATAATAAATTTGATATAAAATACTTTTCATCCATTAAACAGATGGGCGAAGGTCGTTTCTAGTGCGAATCCTCTCCTATAACATAAGATGTAAAAAAAAGAAATAACGACTTTACTTAATAAAAAGTATGAACATATAAACTACCGGAGTTGAGAGGGAATAACATATTCTTACGTATTTGACGTTGCCACTGTTTTTGTAAACGTAAGCCAGCTGTATTTAATGGAGTTGTTACTGACCAGCATCACAAACGTTCTGAATGATTATCAGCATTTTGACTACATTCACCGTATGTCGATAACATGTCCATCAGCTCATGATTATGATAGTTATGTGACACCATATTAATACACTAACACCAATAACAATTACATTAGATAGCCACAATTTTATCTGAACCAGTCATACCGAAACAAGAGACTTTTGGATGCACAACTGTTCACATTTAAAAAACATTAATGCCATTAGTAGAATGCATATTCAAATAAAAACCAAGCAATAAAGCATTTAGATCATTAATATTTGGAGGTCATAGGTAATAAAAAGAACGATCAGTCCAAGTGCATTTTGCTTCAAATATTGGGCTAAATAATAATTAGCAACATGCGGTGTCACTCAATTATGCTTTAAATAAAACAGTGACATTTAAACAATGTATTAAAAAATGTTTTTTTGCCATCTTGAGGCAATTTTTAATAAAGCTAATATTTAGAAATCAAAGGCATGTAGAAATTATCCAGGTGGGCCACTATACTGATGCATATTTTGCTATTTCAGCAATCACTGAGAAGTTTTTCCCCTTATTTGGATATTTACAGGCCCACCGCTGGTTACGAGTCTGAGAATTGGTTGTCATTTCAAGCCCCATCAGCCACAGAAGCTTATTAAGCTGTAAATTTGAAAGAAAGGTAATAAAATGTTAATATTTGTTCGTACCTGCTTCATATAAATCATTTAAACGTCCAGGCGTAGCTATAACTATGTCTACTCCATCTGTGACTGTTTTAACTTGTTCCCTGCGGTTTCCTCCTCCATATACGCAAACTCTAATAAATTATTAAATACATGAATACGCTCCTTCGTTTTTGATATTCTGTGTTACATAACTACATTTTTCTACATTACTACATTGAATATTTTTTTCTGACATAATACTTGAATTATGAATGCAAAATGTAATAAATTGTGGAAATACAATTAAAATGTACTTATAGCAAAATTTAATATCATTTCTGTAGTAATCTGTCATACTTACGATGTAATGCCCCTGTAATAATACTTTTTTACTTCTTTATCAATTTGAAGAGCAAGTTCTCTTGTAGGTGCCATTACTAACACCGCTGGTCCTCCTCGTTCTGACCGATTTCCTGGTTGGCCGTCAATATGAATTAATGCAGGTAACAAGAACGCCAATGTCTTCCCTTAAATCAAATGTATGCATAATTATGGAAATAAAAATATATATAAATATTCAAGGGCAACAATGAAATTATTTACCTGTCCCTGTTTGAGCAATACCTATTAGGTCTTCTCCACTTAACAATACTGGCCAGGCTTGCGCTTGAATTGGTGTCGGTGTTTGAAATCCTACCTTTTCAATTTCACTCAGAATTTCAGGATAATTAAAGAAAGCATGAATGAATTTAGGGCAAGGTTTGGGTATCGGAAGACTGTTTTCTTTTTTGAATGTTCTGTCAACGACGATGTTGTTGTTTTCTTGACGGAAAAGTTGAACTTCTTCTTCAGTTAAATCAGTCACTTCTGGGTGTTCCACATAGAACTGCTTTTTTATTTGTGGATATTTATCCCATTCAGCCTGTTCTGCTTCTTCCTGTGATAATAATTTTATATTCACCAACTTAAGGCAAGTTTGGAATCATAATCTAGATGCTCTAGATATATCTTTTTGTCCTTTCATCTGTTACAATTAGAAAAGAACAAACTACCTCTAGAGCGTTTAGATGTTAATACCGAACTTGCCTTTACAATCATCAAAAATAAAGCAAAGTATGTATTGCTACAGTAATATATAAATTAATTTAATGTATCAAAAAACTTACACACTCCTTAAGAAGAGTCTTCCAGTCTACAACTTTTTTTTCTTCTTGTAGTGGGGGTGGATTACTGTTAATTCTCACCATTTCAGTTGTATCAGTAGTCAAAGAATTGATAAGCGATTTAGCTTTGTCTATTGAATCTTGATTTCCAAATATTTTGACAACAGTGTCGTCTCCAATTATATCTTTCGTCACTTGAATTTTTGCCCCTGAATCTGATTGTAATTCATTGATTTTTGATCCTCCTCGACCTAGACAAAAAAGATTTCATTGACAAAACAAATTCTTGTGATGATTATGTGTTAAAATTTACCAATAATCCTTCCAATAAATTTCGAAGGGACATTAATAGTTTCAGTCTGATCATTTTCAGTCATGTTAGAGCTATTTCCCCATGAGGTTTTATTTTCTTTAAATCTGTTATTTCTATATAAACCATCTGACCTATTAGAAGAATTTTCGCCATTTCCGTAAGAATTGTTATATCTGTTATTTCTCTGAAATCTTGTATTTCTCTCGTTGTTTCTACCATTTCCACGAGCCGCTCGGAAGTTGCTGTTACTAAAATTTTGTGAACAAATCGGTCTGTTTTCATAATTGCCTTGTGGCATTTCAATAGGAGCATTATCATCCCAATCATCACACATTTTTTAAAATATCTATCACTTTTCGTAAATGCAAAGAACTATAATCTCAACAAATTGAAATTGAATTGAATTAATTTGCTTTGACACCGGTACTTGCAACTTGTAACCTTTACTTTCTAAACAACACAATAGAAAGAGAAATATACCATAGAACATAGGGAAAGGAACAATAAAGATTCTTGTTATCTCTGCCACAGAATACACAAACCAGGTTAAGTGTGACTAGACGCCAGATTTAAATGCAAGTTCTTTTTCCCAAATTAAATAAATTTAAACTCCGCCCCTTAGGCGCCAGCAATACATTATCATGAGCTGATGATTTGAAAACATGTTTAAAATTATAATATTTAGGTACGCTCTCATATCTTATGTATTAAACTCGAGTTTAATTTTATTCCATGCTACGAGCATATACTACTGGAGTGTGCCTGAGTGTGCGAGAGAGACAAACAGTATCTCAGTACATGCTGTCTTACTCTAGCACGCACACGCGATTGGTTGGAAATGAATGCTCTAACCCCCTCACCATTTTAAGACGATTTTTCACTATTTTTTGCCAATTATTCAAAATTTTGGCGCTGTTTCAGCTAAACGGGCTTCAGATTTGGATTCAGCATGTCAAAATACAATATTATGTCAAATCAAAGATACGGACCAGTTTTTTTTTGTATGCCAGTGTTATCAATCAATTATATTTATAGTACTTTGATAACAATGATGGAAATAAATATTTAATTTAATTTCCCTCTAAAAACCACACATCAACTAAACAAATAACATTAATAACTGCGAGTAACTTACGTCCGGAGTTGGATTACAAAATGTGTTATAATTTTATTTCATGTAATTATAATTATACATCACAGGGTTCACCTCTTCTATAGACCACATACTAAATAGCTTGCGTTAGCTATTTAGCCTGTGTATAAACATGAAACTTTATCTCATTAAAATCTCTTGATTTTTTTAGGGGATTTTCTAATTGAAAATAAAAGTTTTCTTAGTTTAATTATAAAATATTATTTATTGATCAAATACAATCAGAAAACATTTGTAGTACAAGAACAAGGACATTTCTGTATAAAATAAATAGTTAGTGGAACGAACTTAAAATAAATTAAAACAAAACTTGAGTAATGTTTATCTCACACTTTTACACTGACAGGAAAATAAATCAGTCCCCACTTTCCCGCAACTGTTTCGGTTTACAACACTGTCTGGAATAATTAATACAAAACACTACACATGTAATGATATTTTATTGACAATGAAATAATAACAGCATAACAGTTTAGTTTTGATAATGTCATAATGCTTAAAAATATGAGATATTCACAAATATCACAGGTGGTATTGGTCCCGGTGCCGAGACTTCTGATTGGGGTTACAGGGCCGTCCTAAGGAGTCGGGCCCCGAAATGTGCCGGTACGACCCTGGGGGTTTCTAATAGATTAGACAGAGCTTTCTTTGTGCGGTGGGGGTGTTTGAGTGGCGCAGTTTCGAGACTGCAGGATGGGCGCCCAAGTGACGTGGTAGGGTTTCACGGGCATCTGCGTGGCGCAGTTGCGCTTGCTCGATGGGCGGGCCGTTATCGTGTAAGGTGCCATCGACGTGTCTAGGAGGGTTTCTGAAAAAAAAAGAAAATCTTAATATATGTATATACATTTTTTTTGTTATCATCTGTTTACATGTTCCACACGGTAATGGGGGAAGCAGCGAGCGGAGGATTCTGGTTCGAGCGTACTTTCGATCGTTTTTAGCATATTTCCCATCACCCAGGCGAAAATCCGAGATATACAAATTGGAGATTTTGTCGTCTACTTTCAGATGCCGTTTTCAGAATTTAAATCGGACCATTTTTGATAAATCGCCACGCCCGAATTTTTTTTAATGCAATTGTGCAAGAACTATGCATCGGATAGAAACCATCTTGCGCACGATTAAACCACATATTATTATCTGTCATTTTTCACAAGATTGTTTTTCCAGCTTCAAATTTGATGGTTCTGAATTTTTGAAAAAAGGTCTATTTTAGAGGTTTTTCCGGATTTTCTCTGTAAAAAATGAACCGATCAGGTCGCACAAAACCATTTTATAAGTTTTTTTTATTCTCTACAAAAGTGCTATTGAGAGTAAGACGATTCCATCATTATTTCTGGGGATATCATAAAAAAAAACAAGAAAATGTAATTTTTTTGTAGATTTTATTGTTTAAAAAAAATAGTTCACGACTTTGCTGGGGAAATCACTTGGGTTTTCATTTACTAAGTATTTTTCAAAAGGTAATACATGAGAATTGCTGTAATATTTAAGTGTGCCAAAAAAACTCTATTGGTTGGCTTACTGACCTAATTTAACTTATCATTTTAATTTTTTTTTATTAGTACTTTAATTTATTTACCAAGGTCAAATACACATTTGGCTATCAAAACATGTTATAATCCAAATTTTGATAAAATATCAGATACGCGCATTAGCAGCAATTGCATTTTGTTCTGTCATCAGTCGTAGATAGTACTAGATCAACTGTTGCATTTTAATCTTGATTTTTTTATCGGTTACTATATTTACATGTGGTTGTTGAATACAAAAGTAGCTTTCTACAAATATATTCATTTACATTACGTCATGTGAAAACCAAGTACGAACCTGGAATGTACGATTTAATTTCGGACATTGGAACAAAACATACTTTTTATGGTTACGTTTTATTTAAATAGGAACAACATTATGCTATATTTTTTATCATGTACCTACGCCTATTCGAAACATCAAGGGGAAAACCACATTAGGAGGCTGATTTTCAGGCGTTTCCCATTAATTTTTTTGAGTGGGACATATTGATTAGAATCTGGTTAAACTTTGACATTATTTTATCAATATATTGAACAACATTTACAAATTTTTTCAAGTCATTTGTGTTGAAAAGTCGAAGTTATGGGCTGCTGTCCACCGAAGGTAACGACCAGAGCTGGGTAATTACTTGTAATTTAAAAATAGTTACAATTACAAATTACTTTTTTAAAAAAAGGAACTAATTACAATTACAAAGTATATTATTTAAAAAAAGGAATTATATTAATTTAATTACAGTTACATGGAAAATGGATGTAGCAATTACTTTTCTAATTACTTTTATGATAAAGTAAATTATAGTGACTAAACAGAGAAAAAGGAAAAAGTTAAGTTAAAAATTTTAATTAAAAGCGTTGTGTAATATTGCGTTTTATTATTTATTAGAATTGATACTAAAATGAAAAGATTATTCTTATTCATTTTCTGATATAGAATTTTTATATGTTTATTCCTAATCTAATAGGTAATTTAAACTAGTTCAGTTCATACTATAATTTTATATTATTGGTCAGGTAATTAATTCAACCCGATGCTCTTTTTTTTTGGTTGTTAATGCATTTGCAAAATATAGAATACAGTAGTTTTGGGTAGACTGGAAAGCAATAATAATTATTAAAAAAATTACGAATCGAACAAGTACGAGTGAAAGGCTGAGTAACCGAAACAGAAGTTTTCTCAACTCAAAATAAGAGCAGTAACACATAGATACATAATATATATTTTTATAAAACTTGATGCTATAGACAACATATTTTTACTTCGTATATTTTCTAAATTAATAATAATTATAATAAAATAAAATGTACTCTGTTAATTCTGAGGTTAATTCACCAAATCACTTTTTATTGTTCACGCGGCACAAGGCTTTCCTCAAATGAAATAATAGAAGTCTGCAAGTCTGTACGCAATTACGCAATACGCATGATCTTAAAAGTAATTATAATTATTAGAAAAAGTAATTGTAATTGGAAAAAGTATTTGTACTTATAGAAGTAATTTGTAATTCGATAGTTCAAATAATATAATTACAAATTACAATTCCTATAACAATTTTGCTGCAATTACAATTCCAAATTACTTTAATAAAAAAA